GCTCTCCATCGTAGTTCTTCAGGCAAATGATGCCTAGAGGTCATTATTACGAATTGGCTATCTCAGATTTTCAATGTCGCAATCACAGTAAAATTTGTGTGCTTTCTCTCAAACTTGGACTTTTATGCTCCAGGCAGATGACGTAAGCCGAGTGCAGCGCCACTAATTTGCATATTGCAATTTTACTCAGCTACTCTTAGTGGACAACATATGCAAATTTTGCACGGTTTGGCTTACTTTTGAAAGAGTTATCGCTATTTTTGTGATTTTTCCTTAATTTATGATAACCAGTGTAGTTAAAAGTACTAGATTTTACTTTTTATACAAGAAAATGTTGATAATTTTTAAACTCTTAGTCTTATCGACTTAGGTTGCTTTCCAATTAGCATAAAAATATGAAATAGAAAACAATAATGCACTTATATATGTAAAAATATATTAATTTTGATCCCTTCTTTGACTTTCTCCCTCAAGATGGCGAATAAAGCCAATCCCGAGTGGGAAAAAATATCAGATATTCTTATTGCCTCACTAAGCCACAAGTTTCAAAATTATTTCCAGGTTTCCCTTAATTTTATTTTAATCTTCTATTCAGGAATGTATCTCAAATTTTCAGAACTCAAAACGTTTAAGAGGGTTAAGTAAATATAGATCTGTAACTTTGTTTTTGCTTTAATTGGGGTTGTCTTTCCCATAAATCTCACACCTTTTAAAGTTCTTACTTAAGGTGAAGAAATCTAAGCAGTTGTGCAAAATTTCATTATGCCGCATTTATAAAATCACGCTAACACATATTTATAAAGCCATGATTAGAAGGTTACGATTTTTTTCAAATACGATTCATTTGTTTGGTTAATACTATTCGTTTGGTACTATTTATATTCGTTTGGATTTTATTCACATTCATTTGATTTATTTGGGTTTCATTTGGTTTGGCCATATACATTTGGTTCGTCTTTGGTGCATTATTGTGCTTAAAATTTTGATGGCTTAAGTATAGGAAGGAAGCCGTGTGTCATAAAATTTTGAATAATTTTTTTATATCTGTTGAAAAAAGGGACTCACACTAGACAGCTAGTGTACAAGTATCAGTAAAAAAAAACGTGTCAATGACGTAGATCTTCTGTCTTGAGTTCCTTAAGCGTTAAGGCTATTTTTTGCCACTAAAACAAACATATGTCAAATGGTTTTCTAGAGACGCGGTGGTTCAGGGAATGGAGTGTTCGCCTTCCGAGTCCCAGCGATGGATGGTCAATACGATGCTCCCGGCTTGCACCGACCACAGTGCTGACGTAAAAATATCCTCAATGGTAGGCAAATCATGTGTTAGTCCCTTTGTCGTTAGGCTAACCATGTGAGGTTTTCGTTGTTTTTCTCTCTGTGTCACACAAATGCGGGGTTCATCAGAAAAGTTCTCCACGAGGGAAACTTTCTCCCAATACTTGATCCAAGAGTTCTCTTGTCTTCTAGATTGGATTCAAAATTGCAAAACTGGAGTCTGACGTTAGTAATCGTGAACTAAAAATGGTGTCAGCGGTTCAACAGCGTTAATAATGGTTTTACACAAGGACTTTTTCTGAAAATTTAAACATAATGCATAATTGGTAAATGTTTAAGACTGTGTGTGCCTGCGGATCATTTAATTATTTAATTTTTTTTTAAATTTGACTCCTGCTTTTAAAACATTGAACTACTTAAAGAAATGGGTAACTTTTCACATTTATAGAAATTTGTTTTTGCCTTAGAATTTTTTCTTTAATATTCATCTCGGGTGCTTAATGGCTTTTCAAATGTCGTGCAGTAATATTATTTAACAGATTTTTCTCTTAATTTTAGGAAAGACCATACAGTTAGGATAATTGATAACACAATTCGACACTTCCCACTCGCCAAATTTCATAAATTCTGGGGTCCCACATCTCAAGGAGTCTTCGAAGCACCTAATGAATTTGTTGAATTCATTGCTACAAAGCACCTGAACCTACATTAGGAGATTTCTTCAAGTTTTAAAATATATGTTTATTCAAACAGTGATTTTAATGGATGTATTTTCATTGAACAAATCTTATACTTCCACTGTCTTACTTTTAAAACATTTATTCATTTTAAGAGATGTATAGTATTCTAACTTGTATGTTCAAAGTAATTAATAAATTTTAATTTCGATGTTATGTTCTTACTTTTATGTTTGAAGGCATTTCAAGTCAAATATAGATGTGGCAGTAGAATCTGAATACGTCAACTTTAGATGATACATTTAGATAAAAATGGAATCGAAACATTGAAAAAAGGATCCCAGTGTTTAACCTTTCGACGCAGGTGGAAAACCGGTGTCCCTTTTATATATATTTTTCCCTTTTATATATATTACAAACAGGATATATTTTGGTATAAATTCTCGAACGCAATTTAGGAAACTCAATCTCTGCGGGTCCCGCAGAGGACTGATCGTTAAGACACGGTTTCCAGCAGATCATCGAAGTCAAGCATCACTGGCTGCAGTCAGTGTGCGGGTGGGGGACCACTTGGATTAGTCTGCTTAGGGACCGAAGGTGTGCGGTATTGGTCCTCGTTAAACTGTTCTACCGTAAATTTCTCAACTTCGCGTGTAGGTCATCGGGCTACCGAAGTAGAGTATCAAAATTGTGATGGCATGTCTTCGGATCATCCTCAGGGATGTTTCCCAGACCGTCGTCAATAACCCACTGTGCAGCTCCAGTGCGACGTAAATAAACTACAACAGCGTTCTGTTTTTTTAACTTGACAATTGTTTATAAGTCTGCATTGAACACAGAAGCGTTCAAATGTATGCTGTACCAATAAATAACTAAATAAAGAACCATTTCAATTATACGAAAAAATATAAAATCTGATTTATTGGTTTGGTTTATTGGATTTACCAATTTGACTGTTTTATTGGTTGATTTGTAAGTTTGTGTGCTCAATTTATGCTTATAAACCTGTGTCAAATAGAAGGACAGATAGCACAATACAATATGAACGTAAGTCCAAGGTAACAGCGGGATTCGTACCCTCTACCTCCATGATTTGCACCGCGTATGGCGGGTGATACCGCACGGTAAGAGAGGCCCTTAAGAAATTTGATGTTTGCTACCGTAGTGGAAATGAAAACAGTTGAATTCAAATATTTTTCAAATAAAGTACTTTTAAAGTAGTAGAACTGATCACACAAATCGCGTTTGAATTTTGAGAGCTGAAGATAAGGGACTGATGGATGTTTTCATAAAGGGCACTATTTGCGGATCAGAAGCAGCCTTCCTTGACTTTATTTTCGTTAGCGGTTGGCTTATAGGTTCTAAAATGGGATTTCTTCGTATCATTCTCAAGGACATTTTACACACTATCAATAGCCCACTATACACTTCTAGCTCACCGTAAATGAAGTACTACTTCCACAAGAAACTGATAAAACATTCGTCTGAGTGTGAATATTTTATTAGGAGTGTGATCTTCCAGATTTAAATTATACAAAATCTGAAAATATTTCGAACGCAGTCATTGATTTTAATTCAACCTGGTTTTTATGTTAATGTTTTCTTTTATACTTCATCTACATATGCTACGGTACATGGTACCCTTTAGTAATATGAATTTTATTTACTCATTTATTTATTTTGTAAATTTGCTCCAATGCAGAATCTAACAAAACTTGTTTCGAACTCAGGATTCCTTTAGAAATAAAAGTTTATAACTTCTATAAAGAAGTTCGCAGGCCAGAAGACGATGGAAAATATGAATATTGATTCGAAAGCTGTGTTTGTTCAGGGGATAGAGAGCTCGTCTTCGAATGAGGCTACTCGGGTTTCAATCCCAGCAATGGATGGGCGATACAAATTCCTCACCTGGCTCACACCAACCACAGTGCTGACGTAAAATATTCTCATTGGTAGACAGATTACGGGCTAAAGCGCGGTCAGGCAATCCGTGGGGGTACTTGGGGTTTTCAACTCAGTGTAACACAAATGAGGGGTAGTTCCATCAAAAAAGTACTCAACGAAGGAATATTTCTCGTGATACTTGATCCAAGAGTTTCCTTGTTTTCTGGATAGGGTTCAAAATTTCAATGCTATTAAGTTGAATGCTGGTAGTCGTAAACCTTAAAATTGGGTCGGCTGTTCTATGACGGTTATAAAATAAAATGAAAGACTACTTGTAAATGAAAAAAAAATGCTAGTACCTCATGTACGTAATGTTATTGCCTTAATCTCTAAGGTAGTTGTCGTTGTAGGCCATTAATTCAATTTGATGAGATTAATTCTCCTTTTTCAGTGGTGCCATCTATGGCCACGAATTCGTCTTCTGCAAACACTCATACGTCGCACCAGTTTATAGGGCGGACCTACTCATACATCCATTCATTCATTCACATATCGTAATTTTGACCTGAACCAGAGAACGATCAATCNCTACCGTTAAGGGGGGAAAGGCATCCATTGTTCAAGTTAAACTTGATGTATTTTTATTTATTTATTTATTGATACCACATATATTTACTTCCTTATGGGCTCAACTAAGGCTTATAAGCCTTTACCAAATAGAAGGATAGCACTAAAAGTAACAGCGGGATTCGAACTCGCTACTATGGGGCCTCCCTGGCCGAGCGGTATCGCCGGTCCAAACGCTCTGTTAAGCGTGGAGGTAGCGGGTTCGAATCCCGCCGTAACCCTGGATGTATTCTCTGGGATGTCTTTCTCTGAATTGTTCTATCTGTATTTTCTATTTGACAATGACTTACTAGCCTATATATTGAGCACACAAGTCAGCAAATGTATGTAATTTCAATAAATCAAATCAAATCGAACTCGCTACCTCTACATGATTGGGAGCCAATACCGCTTGGCAAGGAGGTCCCGCAAAACTAGACGATAGCCGCATGTATTCAGGCTGTAATGGCCCCAAGAAATTGGCACCTCTGGGGCCACCCTAGTCAAGTGGTATCAATGAAGGTCTTGTCGTGTGGATATAGCAGATTTGATACCTGATGTAAAACACTGGATGTATCTTCGCGATGTTCTTCTCTGAAATGTATTATTTCTCTTCCTACTTGACAAAGCTTATAAGCCGTACTTATGTAATTGAGCACACATATGTAAGTATATGCATGTGTAAATAAATAAATAAACCATTTTACTAGAATATCCCTGCAATAGTGGTATCACCCGTTAAACACTGTGTATAACGTGAGGGTAGCGGGTCCGAATCCCGCTGTTACCTTAGTTGTATCTTCGTTCTGTTTTTCCACTTGACAAATATTTATAAGCCTTCATTGAGCACAGAAGTTTACCAATGTATGCGGTGGTACCAATAAATAACTAAATAAATAGCCATTTCAATTATACGAAAGTCCCTCAATTGACTAATCGTTAAGACACGGTTTCCAGCAGATCACCGAAGTCAAGCATCACTGGCTGCGGTAAGTGTGCGAGTGGGTGATCCCTTGTATTAGTCTGCGTAAGGACCGAGGGTGTGCGGTAATTAGTCCTCGTTTAACTGTTCTACCGTAAAGTGCTCAACTTCGCGTGCAAGTCGTCGGGCTACCAAAGCAGGGGTGCCATCCCTTCTACAGAGGAATGAAATTGTGATGGTTTGTCTTCGGATCATCCTCAGGGATGTTTCCCAGACCGTCGCCAATAGGCCATTGTTCAGTTCTAGTGCGACGTAAATTAACAACAACAACAACAACCACTACTACTCCAATTATACGAAAACATATAAAATCTGAGTTATTGGTTTGGTTTATTGCATTTACCAATTGAATTGGTTTATTGGTTGATTTGTTGCTTTTGTGTGCTCAATTTTGGCTTATGAACCTTTGTCAGATGGAAGGACAGATAGCACAATACAGAGACAATACAGTATGAGCGTAAGTTCAGGGTAACAGCAGGATTCGTACCCTCTAACTCTGCATTAAGGGACTGATGGATGATTATACAAGATATTGATATTGTATATGACATATGATGATCACTATTTGCGTATCAGATTTAGCCTTCCTTGACTTTATTTCCGTTAGCAGTTGGCCTATAGGATCAAAATTGAAATGGAATTTCTTCGGATCATTATCAGGGATGTTTCACACACTGTCAATAGCCCATTACGCACCTCTAGCGTACCGTAAATGAAGTACTACTTCCCCTAGAAACTGATAAAACATTCGTCTGAGAGTGAATATTTTATTGGGAGTGTGATTTTCTAGATTTGAAGTATACAAAATCTGAAAATATTTCGAACGCAGTCACTGATTTTAATTCAACCTGGTTTTTATGTTAATGTTTTTTTTTAAACTTCATCTACATACGTTGCGATACATGGTATATAACTCTTTAATAATAGGAATTTTATTTATTCATTTATTTATTCTGTTGTTGCTGTTGTTAATTTACGTCGCGCCAGAGCTGCACAATGGGCTATTGGCGACTGTCTGGGAGACATCCCGGAGGATGATCCGAAGACATGCCATCACAATTCTGATCCTCTGCAGAGGGGATGCCCCCCCCCCGCTTCGGTAGCCCGACAACCTGCGCGCGGAGTCGAGCATTTTACGGTAGCACAGTTTAACGAGGACCAATACCGCACACCCTCGGTCCCTACGCAGATTGATCCAAGTGGTCACCCACCCGCACACTGACCGTAGCCAGTGATGCTTGACTTTGGTGATCTGCTGGGAACCGTGTCTTAACGATCAGTCCACTGCGGGACGGGTAGTTCCATCATAAAAGTACTCAAGGAAGGAATATTTCTCCTAATGCTTGATCCAAGAGTTTCCTTGTCTTCTGGATAGGGTTCAAAATTTCAATGGTATGGAGTTGAATGTTGGAAGTCGTAAACCTTAAAATTGGGTCGGCTGTTCTATGACGGTTATAAAATAAAATGAAAGACTTCTTGTAAATGAAACAAAATGGTAGTACCTCATGTACGTAATGTTATTGCCTTAATCTCTCAGGTAGTTATCGCTGTAGGCCATTAATTCAATTTGATGAGATTAATTGATTCCTTTTTCAGTGGTGCCATCTATGGCCACGAATTCGACTTCTGCCACACTTATACGTCGCACCAGTTTATAGGGCGGACCTATTCATACATCCATTCATTCATTCACATATCGTAATTTTGACCTGAACCAGAGAACGATCAATCTCCAATTCAGTACTCCCAGAGGCATTTATCTGTTATGGGGACATGGGGGAATTTGTGAACAGACAGATTTATAGCGTGCACCTGTCACCCTTTACTATACGGGCAGTTTTTGGCCGGTTGGATTCGAACTCCCGTTCGCGAGAACGGGAGTCCAGCGCCCTGCCAACCAGGCTATCATGGCCCCAATCTTTTAGGAAGATTAGTTGAAAGCAGTAACTTACCACTTGAAGTATCCCCTCCTATTTCTTTAATAGCTATTCACACCCTGGTTCAAGTCTCAGCAATGAATTCTTCCTTTATACATCGATTCCAGTTTTTTAGTCCACAGTTTCGATGCAAAATATCACAATCTATCGCGAAGTCAGTGCTGAATACTTATCTAATGTGTGAACAAAAATTAAGGTTGTCGTGCCATTGAGAAAGATTTTTGGAAGTAAATTTATCCATGTCTAAAATGAAACATGAATGAAGGTTAGTTTTCAAAAAAAAAGTTCTTTGCAGAAGCTAGTTTGTATCTTTATTTGATTTGGGAGTTTTTTTTTTATTTTGTTGGATTACGTTTAAAGTTAATTCCGGTAACTTAGTTTTCAATAACCTCTTTTCGAATTTTGTATCTCGACACTTTCAACGTAAAGTTTTGTCGTTTTCTGAGATTGCTCAGCGGTATCATCTTATGAACCTTTGACCTTCTATAAGATTTTTGGATCCGTAGTAAATGATTCTTGTGATTTTTTTAATAAGACACTTGTATATTAATGGTTTTCAAGTTCCCGTGTCCTTTCGTAATTTTTAAAATTGAACCTACAGTTTACTCTGCTATTATTATAGAAGCTGATCTCTTGACTACCCAAGGATCTGGTTCATTTTCATTCAGACGTATGTATTAAAAGAACCTTCTTGGCCAAGCGGTATCACAAGCCAAAGTCGCTGTAGCATGCAAGTAGCTGATTCGAATCCTGCCGAAATCCTGGATGTATTTTAGAGCTGTTCTTCTCCGCATTATCTTTCTAACTGTAAAGCTGCCTTTCTGCTTGGCAAAGGCTTATAAGACGTACTTTTGTGCTTGAACACATAGGCTTGCATGTATGAGTACGAAAACATAAATGTATTTAAAAGACTCACGCCTAAAGTCAAGTTGGAGCCTCCCTGGCCGAGCTGTATCGCCCGATAAACCCAGTGTGGAGCGTGGAGGTGGCGGGTTCGAATCCCATCGTAAGCCTGGATGTATTATTTGTGACGTCCTTCTCTAAATTGTTCTATCTGTCCTTCTACTTGACAAAGGTTTATAAGCCTAAATTGAGCAAACAAGCCAGCAAATGTATGTAATTTCAATAAAGCAATAAAGTCAAGTTTTTGCATGCTGGTTGTGAGATTGAATTCACCACAATTGCTCTTTTAATTCAACTTCTTGTTGTGATTTAATTTAGTGTTTATCAAGGTCAATAGGCATAAAAATTTGAATAATGTCTTGGTAAGAATAGTTTTTAGATTAAATAAAATTGTGTTATTTAAATGTTTTCTCGTCTAGTTTTGAAATTCATTTAGTTTTATCAGGCATCATGTGAAAAATAGTACTTTTTTTATACAGCTTATTTTGCCTGCAATATGAAGTTGCAATTAACTATTGCATGAAAAAAATGTTTTTGTAGGAATTTTTGAAATAATCGTATATACTATTTAAATTGCAAAGAAAAAAGTGCTTTGTATTTATTTTGAATGGTGATAAAATTTAATTAAAACTGATTTCCTGCTCTCCAGAACTTCTTTCGCAGTTTCTGTCCTGTTACTTGATACCAATGAATGAGCATATTTCGCTCATTCATTGGTTACTTGTGCATTTTAGTCTACATCTGTATGTTAACTTATATTCTTAACGGTCTAAATACTGAAAGTACAGAGTTGATAATTTTATTTACAACAGCATGAGCAAAAATGATTTTTGCGGTATTTTTAGTTATACCCAAGGATTTTGATTCAGATTAAAAAAAAATTAAATTCAGTTCAGAAAAGTTAATATGCTTAATGAAATATTATTTAAACAAATTAAATTTCCAGTTATACTAGGAAAACTTCAGGACTTTTTACATCTTATTAATCTAATCATAAACTAAAAATCAATATTACATTCTGTAATAGTTGTAATATAAAACAAAGTAGTATTTTAAGATTCAATTTTAGGACCACTGCAGTGATTCCAGCATGCTTCGGACAGTGGATAAATATTTCCAGTTGGTACTCTTTTATAGTACGATTCTTGGCTTAATAAATTAGATTTATAGGGTTTTTACTCACCTGTTCAAAAGCTTGTTGCAGCAGTGTTGAGCCTTTTAAAAATTAACAGAAAATCTGTAATTTTTAGTTTGAAGTTCTGTACAGTTTTTTTTTTAAAAATATTTTGCTGATACTAGAGCAGTTGGCAACTCTGCTAATATTATCTTTTATTTTTTATTAATGATTTATGCAAATTTAAGAAGTTAAGTGCCAAAATCATAACTTTTGCAGGTGTAAATTTGTTAATTTTTCGTTCTAGGGTTTCTAAATTGTTTTATTAGTATAATAATTAAACAATTCAAAAAGCTTAGAAAGCGAAATTTAAAAAAAAAATCCAAGATTGGTTTATTGATAATATTTTGAAATTAATAAAATAAAATTCATGATTTTCTAATTCATTAGTAGCAATGAAATAAAAGTTCATGTAACTTATCACTGAAATATCCGTGTACTGCAAGTATTAAACTAAATATTACGGACGTGAAAATTGGAATTAATGGAAAATTGGAATTAATGGAAAATTAGAATATTAGACAACGTTAAAATACTTGGCTGTATATATTTAGTTACTTGGCGCGTATATATATATAGATATATTATAAAGTAAAGATTCATTTTGATCAGATTCAGTTACTTAAAATACAAAGTAAATAGTAAATTCCAAATTTTTTTTTATAATGCATGCACTTCTATATTTGTCTCATCTGTCTGGAAAAGAATTAGTTAAGTAACATTATCTAATTAATATTCTAGAGAAATGTATTAAATTCTTTATTAGTGGAAAATTAACTCACACTATTAATAAATTCTCAACATATTACCAATCCGTAATGTATTTTACAAACTATGTTTGCATATTTTTAAAAATCCAAACGAGTGTAACAAAGAAGCGATTAGCATGAGAAGATTTGACTAAATTTATTTCATACCCTAGCCTAACAGGAACATTTTCCGTTAAAAATCTTAATATTTATCTCCAATATGCTTTAATTTTCTCCCTACTGGAATTCAAATTGCGAATAGGTTATATAAGTTTATTCTTCAGTGGACAAATGTTGAAAATTTTAAGTGTTTGATTTCTTTGAAATTAAATTCTCCCGAAACTATTCCACCGATTTCGCTCAAATTTCGTATTACCATGTAATATTGCATTTTTTGAAACAAAAAAAAAAAAAAAAACTTTGTAATTCAAAGTTTTTTTTTTCCGACCATTCATAAATGAAGTAAAAAATAATAAATATTATTAAGCAATAAATAATAAATATTATTAAGCAATAAATAACAAATAATATTAAGCAATAAATAAGCAATAAATAGTATAGTCACTTTGCCCATGGAATTATCTTTGGATGAGCTAATTTTATAATTGGCAGTAAAAATGCTTTAATTTGCTTCAAGAGTTCTCGAGATATAGTGAAATTCGCAAAAAATAAAATTTACATTAAGGGGTTCAAGCTTTGGAGCGCTTTTTCTAACCAAACTCTAGGGACCATATTTCCAAAATTGGGCATATTTTGGGGGTCAGAAATCCGAGTCCATCAAAAAAAATCATGCTCATTTAAAAAAAGTAAGTTTTTGTGTTTTATTTCATAACTTAAATCAGCATATTTGAAGTCACCCCCTCAAGTCATCAAGAATGAGTCCTAGAGCGGGAAATCCGATCATTAGAACAAAAATTAATCAGAGTGGTCCGTTTTTCACATTGATAAATTTGAAATTTCATGACTGTAAAGATTAGCTTGTTTTAAACCAATGGCCCTTCCATTTTCGTTTGTGTTTTTATTTCTTATTTATAATATATAAACGAAATTCTTTTATTCTCTGATATAAACCTAGAGATCCAAAGGTAATTCGTTGACTTTTTCTTCGGTTTGTTTCACTTACTATGTGACATCTTAAATTTGTAAATATTTAATCTCGATTCTTATAGAAACTTGTAAAAAGAACGAAAAGGGGGAAAAACATTGCTGGTTGATCTTCGTTGAGAAACGATCCATGGAGATCCATTTCCATGGTTTCTCTCACGATCCATGGAAATTTTGAAGCATCATTAAAACTAAAATATAATTCTAAATTATTATTGTGCATTATATTAAAAAAATATTTACCCTTTAGAATTGATAAGTATAATTAAAACAAAAATGTAGAACTGTTAACTGTTGGCCGTTATCAAATTATTTCTTCATAATTTATGGCTCAGTTTGAGTTTTTTGTAGTCCATGTGCGAAAAGAATTTTCAATCAGAAATTATGTTTAAGTTTTTGTGATTATGCCTGCTAACTCGCTTGATATTTTAATGCCAAGGCTAAACCAAAATAAGAACGCTTTTGTAATCTAGAAAGAAGAATATGAATAATAGCTTGCTAGGGGAGCTTAGTATCTAGATGTTTAAAATTCAGCCTGTTATTATAAAATTTTATTGTTTATTTATAATTTAAATATTGTTATTGACATTTTATGATCAAATCTTAAGTGTCATTTTAGTTATATAGATATTGAGCATTAGTTTCAGGTATACACCAATCAAAATGGCCCATAAAGTGTTTGAGACATTAAGAGGAAAAAGTAATGACAAGTGTCCTGTTATTTTTATGCATGGCTTAATGGAATCCAAAGAAACATGGAGAAGGGTTCCTGAACGTGTGGCAAATAAAACGAAGAGAAAGGTATGTATATAGCTTTGCATTTTTATTTTGATATCTTACGTGCGAAAGTTTCTCCTTTTCTACCAATCAAGTTTATTCGCACTATTTTATTCATCCCCCTAATGTATTAAAAAACAGCTACAGTGGTGCGTTGTATTTTTAAAAAATCAGTTTAAACAATCTTTAAACATTATTTTTCAAGAAAATAAGCTTAAACAAACATCATATTTATCTAAAACAAGTAAAAATAAGAAAATTATCCAAAAATAGGATTAGTTATACGTTGTACTAGATAAACTAACGAAAGAAGTAATGTGAAAAAAAATCACAAATAAAAAGCAAAAATGAATATGTAGTAGTATTGATTCTGTAAACAAAAACTTTACTTGGTGTCTAAATACCAAATGACAGCAGAAAAGTAAAGAGACAAACATGTGCAAGGTGGTTGGTTATACAAGCAGGGCATGAGGATCAAGCTTGAATAAGGTGATAATGGAAAAGAGATAAGAAACAGGTAGGGTAAACTAACCAGTGAAGGAACACTACCCAGTGAAGGAACATTTCATATATATTGTTTAAAAATAAGAATTTGAAAGTTTTTTTCTTCAGATTGATTGGTAACAATAGCTTACTGCAAAACAATAGGAAGTCATCTAGCAATGTTTTGGATTACCTGGTCAAATAGACTTCTATGGAAAATTTTTTGAATTTGTTATTATCTCTGCAACACCTTGTTTCTTTAAAGAAAATATAAGGTGAGTGTTTGTATTTATGTTTGAAGTGGAATTAATTGCATGTAATAGTTTTATTTTTCTCACTGTGAAATGGAGAATTCAAAATATAGTTATTGAAGTTGCGTTTTATTTTTTTAAGTACCATAGCATAATAAAGTACTGAGATACCTATTGTTATCCTATCACCTATATATAATAAAGTACTGAGATACCTATCACCTTATGTGTTTATTCACTGGATCACCAAACGATGAAAAACCAGTGAAGGAGCAAGTGTTCCTTTACTGTTTTTTTTCTAAGTTAACGAAAATTAAAGATAAACTTTAAATTTCTTGTACCTTTAGTGATGTTCCGCATCCAAAGTATGTTAAAAATACCAAAAACTTCTAATTAGTGAGGGAACAGGCATGTTCCTTTACAGCGCATAGATTTCCCAGTGAATGAACAGTATGTGTTAATATGTTGACGCTTTAATTTTCAATTTATGATTACAAAAAAAAGTTAAGTTTTCCAAGTATTTATATGCTATAATTTCAAGAATACCCAACCAAATTCATAAAGAGCATTAAAAAATAACCAAAATTAAGTGTTCCTTTACTGGGTATTCATTCACTGGTAAGAGCTGTTCCTTCACTTGGTCTTCTTACTACTTGTCATTTGAACCTCCAAAACTTTAAAGCAATATTATGTGAGTTCTCTACAATTTTTTTACATAATTTACAATTAGTAACAAATATGTTGAGACTGTCATTTAACTAAAATTACGAATTTTTAAATTAATAGGATTTTTTAAAAGGCAAGCGAAGCTTAAGTGCTCCTTCACTGGTTAGTTTACCCTATTTAGGGTTTGTTGAAAACTCCAGACAGCAAACATTAAAATAGATTTCCAATTATTTGGGAAAAGATGGGATATTATGAAGATCATTGAACAAATTATTATAATTTTTCAAAATAGGAAATAATTGCCATAAATCAAGCTCGATAGATGAAGAGCAGTGTTTAATGATTTTAGCACAAGAAAACTGAAGCCCATTATTAGAATTCAAACTATGAAAGAAGATGATTATTGTTTAATATCTTGATTTTGGATATATATCATTCCCGTTCCTTAAGTCGAAATTTAAGTGTACATTTAGTTTGTCTAATACATGCTAGACCATGTTGACAAAAATTTTGATAAATATTCCAGGTATAAACATAAGCAATAAAGTTAAGGAAATTTAGTTTGCTTACAGGAAAAAAAACTCTTAATTTAAATTTATTCAAAATTTTAGCTGTTTGAGGATTGATTTTTCGATGATATGACAAAGCAATCAAATCGTTGAAGTTCTTCATAAATTGTCTGTCGCATAACATGATTTAATTTTTTTCCATGGAATTAATATTAGAAGGAAATCCATATTCAACAACTTTTAAGATAAATAAGCTCTTCATTGAAGTTATTACTACAAGAACAAATTTAACAAGCGCAGAAGAAGGTAAGGTAGTAATCTTTTGATTAGGAGAATAAGAAATGGTAAAGGAATGTAATCGCAAACTATTTTGGACAAATAACAGTGAAAAAAAAAAGGGCCGGGATAGCCTGGTCGGTAGGGTGCTGGGCCCTTATCCAAGAGGTCGTGGGTTCGATCCTCGACGACCGAAGACTCCCCGTGTAGTAAATGGTGACTGATGCACGTTAAATCTGTCGAGTCTCAAAGTCCTCCATGTTCTCACAACAAATCAATACCTCTGGGGGTACTGATCCAGGAGTTTCCTTGTCTTCTGGATTGGTTCAAAATTACAAGGCTGCGGAGTTGAACGTAAGTAGTCGTAAACCCATGAAATTGGGTCGGCTGTTCAACGACGGTTATAAAATAAAATAAAATAACAGTGAAAGAGCCACGATGGCTCAGGGGACAGAGCGTTCGCCTTCCAATGAGGTTCGATCCCGGCGATGGCTGGTCGATATGACTTCCGCATCGGGCTTGCACCGACCACAGTGCTGACGTGAAATATCCTCAGTCGTATATGAATCATGGGTTAGAGTCCCCTCGCCGACTGGCTAACGGTGGGAGGTTCTCGTGGTATTCCTCTCCATGTAACGCAAATGCGGGTTAGTTCCATCAAAAAGTCCTCCACGAAGGCAAAATTTCTCCCAATACTTGATCCAGGAGTTCCCATGTCTTCTGGATTGGGTTCAAAATTACAAGGCTATGAAGTTGAACATTAGAAGTCGTAAACCCAAAAATTGGGTCTCCTGTTCAACGACGGTTATAAAATAAAATAAAATAACAGCGAAAAATTTATCGTCATCATTGTTAAAAAGAACCTTTTTAAAAAAATTAATCATTTGTTTTCCAGTTAAAACTTAAATTGAATGCAAGGATTTATATAATCCGTAAAGGATATTCTATGGATCCTTGCATTCCCACTGTAAACTTGCTTCCTTGTCAAAGTTTTGTTATCCATGTATCTCAATCTCATTCCATTTTTATTCAATAGCTTTTTTGATCAAGATTTTAATATTTTTATTATTTTAGGTTTATGCCTTCGATGCTCGAAATCATGGCGAAAGTGAACACACTATGGTTTCCAATTTTGATAACAATCTTTATGACCTTTACCACTTTATGGACACAATGAAAATTGAAAAATCTATTTTAGTGGGTCATAGTATGGGTGGAATGACGGCCATCAAAGCTGCCCTAGACCAGGTATGTTTAAGTGTTTTTGATGTATTATAATACTTAGTCTGTTACTGTTTCAAAATTATCTACTAATTATAAAACATTAGATTTTTCCTTGATGAATTTAGTTTTGTAACTCAATACTTTACCACGTTTCAAGATTTAAAAAAAAATTAAAATTTTTCAAGTTTTATTTTATTGGCTTGAATATTTGAGGCAATAATATTTTGAGTTCTTTAATGAGAAAATAATAGCATTAATTTGAGATAAATTTCAATAGAGTTTAAGAAGTAGCTTGCAATCAAATTTTATTTCAATAACGTATGCAAATGTGTTGATTTTAGTCTTCCAATAAATCGCAAGATAAATGAGTTTTGATTCTCAATTTAGTTTTTTAAATCCCATTATTACCAATGTCTTTATTTTTATTTTTCGTAAATAAAGTCATTTAAATTGGTCATCACAGACTAATTAAAGAACTTATTAAACTTTAGATGCTCAGACATTATTGAAAACTTAATCACGTAAGCTGCTCATGTAATATGAGAAATAAATTCAAATATAAAGTTGAAGGTCGTAATAAAAAACTTTATTTAGGCAAAAAGAAAATTGGTGAAAATTAATGCAATAAAGTGCGTAATATTCAAGGGTTCAAGTCACAAACTGAAGAAAATTTATTTCACCATTTACGCTAATAAATTACTCTGTAATTTAGTAACTATTTTATTTCCTTTTTGAGAATTCTTGATTTTGCCAAATTGTCATCTTATTTCATTTTACGGATATTGTTAATTTCGCTTATGATCATATGTTGATATTCAGCTTTCGATCCATTTTAAGCACCAACAAAATAAGACAAGAATAAAAAACCCTGTTTTCATGATTTTTCTGAGACTTATACTTTTAAATTTTAATTTTGATATTCCTCTGCCTAAATTTTTCTTAATATTCCTCTCCTTTTCTTTTCCCTTGCTTCCTCTGAAAATTTGAACAATTGTTCAATTTTTTAAATATTACTAGTCTTATAAAATCATAGGAATATTTATAATCTATTAAATTGACTAAGATTTATTCTTTTCTCATTTCAGCCATCAAGAGTAGAAATGGTGTTTAGTGTGAACATGCATACTGATAAAATACATCCAGAAATCATTAATAGATGGTTATTTCACTTATTGAGACTAGCGGATGGATATTGCACCTTTGAAATAAACAAACCAAATATGGCATTTGTTACTGAGCCGCCATCCAACGAAAAAATGAGGAAAAATGAGGTAGGTATAAAAATTGTAATTTCCTCATTACCTGAAAAACTTATATGGCGATTTTAGTATCAAAATAAATTTTATTGCATGATCTTACTGAATAACAAGTTTAAAAAACGCACTAATGTTTATGATTAAAAGCTCTTCTAACACTTCCTCAAACCATTAAAGTCAGATCTTACATTTCATCAATTTTCAGAAGCAAGGTTGAGTTTAGTTTGACAACGACAATAAGAAAAAACAGGTTTTAAGAATCTGGAAGGAATTTTTTAAGTCTTTAACATACCGTCCATCGTCCGAGACCTCAGCAAATTAATTTTTTTCTAGTACTAGTGAATAAAAGCTTAAGTTTTTAAATAGAGTAGAATTTTCATGAGACTTTCATCAGAACTTTGAAACCTGACCATTGACACATCAGACCTTTGATATGCTTGTTTATATACGTAGAGGTATACAAGATTCTACTCTTCTAATCAAGCATCCTGGGACAAAAGCTCAAAAGGTTCTTTTAAATATCAATGATCGGAATGATTCTTGTCTACCTTCGCCTGCGTGATCTAATATCTCCTTACCTTTAGTAGATAACTCAGGCCAAAATAAAATTTGAAGAATCATCAAATCTAAGTGATTAATACACAATGCTAGATCCACAACTATCTCCGAATTGATCCACTTGCTCAGCACATTGTAAAATTAAATGTCAACTTCATCGACAAGTTCATCAAATGTTAGGATGCTAATTTCAATGATATCTTCCAATTTGAAAATCTGATGGCCGAATTACTGCTTTCTTCCTCAGAGATTAATTCTTTTTCAATGTATTAACATGCTCTGTAAATATTGAGAATACCACCTAACACATGGTGCATACTCATCTCTAATACTACATACCTGGAGGTGCCTTGCTTTTTCAGGGGCTTAGAAGCCAGCAGACTTGTTTCTCTCGCTTTGCCAGTGATCACTTGAGACGCCTCTCGTATGTTCAGGGGCGAAACACTTTTGGACTTTGCACTAAATGTAGGACTGCTCAGGTTTTGCCCGAGCATATTCTAAACTGTATCGATTTTAGGATCGACGAGGTTTTTTCAAAACCTCATCTGTTTTTAGACTTTCTGGACATTTTCGGACTTATGGATTTAATCTAATAGGGATGGACCTCTTGGGGATTAGAAACAGCAACAATACTATATAGTTTTCATCTTATTGTTATTTCATTATTACTTTATGTGTTTATCACTGAACGATCACTCACCAATGATCCAGCTACAATAAAATCGTAACCATTTGCTTACGGCTGGTACAACTGATGGCCCAGAATAGCAGGTGCGCAGGCGCCGTAGTCAATAGTTTAATTTCATTTAATAGGCTACCCTCTCCTTTCTACGAGTTTCATTCCACTTCCTTACTGTACTACGACATTGACTCCAAAGTTTATTATGAATGGCCAAAGTGTCGCAAGCATCCCAGCTCAATTTAGAAGAGTAGGCCAGAGCAATGACAGTTTGAACGCTTCTATTTGGAAATAAGGTTTCGTAGGATTTGAAAAAGATAAATTTCTGCATTCAGATGAAAAAATCCCATTAATGCTCAAAACATTTGAGGAAGAAGTGACACGGTGTTCAGTATCTCGCAATTTCATTTTCAATTTTTTTTATTTTATTTTGTTCATTGAAATGAATAAAATAAAGCGAATTATTCAAAATTTTAATCAGTAACTAAATAAAAAAAATCACGTTAACAAAATTTTCCGTAGGATAACATAGTAGAAAATTCTACTTACTCTGTCATGAAATAGTAAAATAAAATTATTTCCAATCTACGCTTCTTTCAATATTAACGTACACAAATAATGAAGAAATTAGTTAAAGGACGCTGTAATTTTAAAAATTCATATATTCTTTTTTAATTATCGTAGAACTCCGATAAATGCATTATAATATGTATATCATTGAAGTGATTGTTTTCCTTGAGATCTGGCTAAAATCAAAACTACGATTTAATTTTGATATAATTTCATAATTTGTTTTCAGAAACTTTACAATTCCGTGCACGTATTTAGATGTCTGGCTCTCTCAGATGCTCTCCTTGAATTCGACGCAGCACAGCCCACTACCCACTTAAATGGAAAGTATCCCGGGCCAGCCTATTTTATTTTTGGTCCAAGAAATATATTGTGTGGGTAAGTGATTCATTAGTTTCTAGTCTATTTTGGAATGGTTTCATTGCAATCATGGTTTAAAATTGCTAGTCTGATATTCCCTTTGTAAAACTCCAAGCAGCAGATTTCGATATCCACATATAATTTAAATAACAATTTTAGAATTAAGATAACCTAGTAAAGAACCTTAAAATCTAAATTTTAAACATGTTGCTTTTTTTGGAATGCCCATCCTGCTACATACAGTGTGAATACGATGAATGGCTTTTCAAAAACCTTCGCAAAAACGTAGATTTGTTTCTTTATACAGTTCATCTATAAGTTTCTTATGTAGCACCAAAAGCTCGGGTATTTCTCTATCTAAATTGGCAACACTAGTCATCTATAGTAATTCATTAGGATAGGTTTTCATGAGTAATAACTTTAGTAGTGTAAAAAAGTTTCAGAAATACAAATTATTTAAGTCTGATGAGGATTGTTTTTCAAAGGAAGTGAACTAAAGCAGAACTTTTTGAAACAAACAGAATTTGTACACAAATTTATTAGAACTTAAGAACTTAAACACTCGTTTATATATCCTTATATGTTTACGTTATATGTTTAGTGATGAACAAAATTCTATCACTTCTAATTTGATAAAATATTAACACATTGCCATTGCTAGTAGCAGGAAAATATTTTTTATAGTTTCGAATCAGTAGTATTTTTAGTCTCAGTAATTAGTTATACGGAAAGCAGTAGCATAAAATTTTGGTATATAATTACCTATACGTTAAGTATAACAAATTAGAATTATTTTGTATTTTAATAGAAATAAAAATATAGTTGCGAAATACTTATTTAGATTAAATTTTTCCTTATTTGAAATGGTTGTAAGAATTTTAAACATAAACCACGTAATGGTTTCGCACATTGTCTTACCAATTATTGATGACAGTTTGCCTTTTACTCTACAATAAGGAAAGATACTTCCTGATCTTGATATTTTTTGAAAATTTCCTACGAAATACTCCGAAGATTATTTTAACTTTAGAGTTGTTTAGTTTATGCGATTTTTTAGACTCGGCAATAAAGTTTAAAGCTTTCAGAGGTTTGAGGGATCTGCAATAAATTATGATTGAAAACAGTTCCCTGAAACACTCTGTGCAGAGAAAACCAAGCAATAAGCTTGGAATTTGCATAGATTACTTTGTATTGAATTTGCAATAGGTGAATAAAATTTCGTACACCTAGCTTAAATATTTATGGAGATGTGGACATTTTTTATTAAGTATTTTTTTGTCTTGCGTTTTTTTTTCTGTGACTTACAGTAAAATTGAACCACATTTTTGGAATATTTTGAAATTAGATAGGATTTTTTTTTAAATTTAAAAAAAAAAAAAATTCTAAAAGCTGCGTTCTTAACGCAGTTCTTTTGCACTGCTCTTACGTATTTTAAAGTTTTTTTTCCTCCATAATCTTGTATGTACTCGCATTCGGCAATTAAGAAAGTCTTATTTGAATGTCTTTAAAAAGTAAAAAGTTTCAAGTAATTTCTTATGTAATTTTTCTATTTTTTAAAAAAAAAAATCTTAAAAATCTGGAGTTTTCCACAAATGGTTGCTAAATAAAGATTTCGCTAAAATTAAATATTATCTAAAATTAAGAAAAATAGAATAATATAAAATTCAATTCATTGTATTCAATTCATATATAACTTTAAAAATATCGTAGACATTTCCCAAAAATGGTTAAAATTTAAGTACTTCCGTGCTAGCACCGATTAGTACATTTCTATATTGATTGGGCTAGCAATATGATATATTGAGCGTCCAGTTTATATCACCACCACCTAAACATCTCGTTTGACCACATTTTTTATTTCAACATAGCTTTGTCTTCCCTGAATGAATTTTTAACTTTTAATGTTGATTGAAAACTTACTTGAAGAATAGAATTTTCGAATTGACTGGAATTTTGAGAGGCTTCAAATCAATTAGTTTTTCTGTGTTTCTTAAACCGGTCCTTTACAATACCTACAATATTTTACAATTCCTACATTTACTTCCCCATGGTAGTTAGAGCATCCTACTACAAAAAGGTCAAAATAGCCTGCGAATTCTCATGTAAAATGTTGTTCGCGATGTAGTAACAGAAATACAGGTGTGAAATGTAGTTAATGTAGTTAGCGATGTCTTTGAACTTTGCTCACTGTGACTCGTTTTTGACTGATTTTACGAATAAAGTTAAATAACATACTATATCTTTTTTAAAAAAAAAGGTTTCCGATAATAAACCGTGGTAGCTCAGGGGATAGTGTTCCGCTCCCAATGAGGTAAACCTTATTCGAATTCCAGCAATTACTGGACGATACGAATTCCGCATCTGGTCTGCACTACGATCACAGTGCTGACGTGAAATATTCTCAGTGGCAGATGGATCATGGGTTGGAGTCCCCTTACCGTCAGGCTAACTGTGGGTTCTCGTGGTTTTCCTCTTCATGTAACGCAAATGTGCATAGTTCCATAAAAGAGTCATCCATGAAGGCGATTTTCTCCAAATACTTGATCCAGGAGTTCCCTTGTCTTCTGGATTGGGTTCAAAATTACAAGGCTGCGGAGTTGAACATTAGTAGTCATAAACCCTTATGTTGGGCCGGCTGTTCAACAACGGTTATAAAAAAAATATTGCTTAGCCGATTTTTTTCTTCTAATTTCAGAAAACGACTTTACACCTTGAGTCATATTAAACATTTTCCGGAAGCTGAAGTAATACCAATGACAGACTACTCCAACGACTTATTTAGAGACAAAAAACTAGCTAATGCTCTGTGTGAAACAATTCTTCATGTACAAAAATTTATTTGAGAGTATTTAGATTTTTAATCTTACTATATTAGGTATTTAATACTTGCAAATCTTTGTTTGATATCTGTTCAATGTTTCTTTGTCAGTTTTACAATGTTTTTCAAAAATACTTACTCTTTGATTATTCAATGTTTTATACAGTTTTGTAAAAGTGATTGGAATTTAAGATTTGCCTGTCCAAATTAATAAATATTTTGAATTTAATTGTATTGTTTCATAATTATGGTTGATATATTTTTTTATTTCTTATTAAAAATGTAGTTACAAGTATCTAACACATACATATGCAGTTACAAGTAGATGGTAAATAACTATTAATATAACAAAATTCCGCTCGAAACCTCATATGGCCAGAGAGAAATAAGACGTAGAAACATTTAAAATAGTTTGTTGCTACATTCTAATCATTGTCTTTCCATTTCTGTTTTATTTAACAATCGTACGGTGATTGGTTTAAATTTTAAGTATCTCCTTCAGTAAGGATCTTCTAAATTTTGATTTTTTTTTAATTCCTGCGTTTATACATTACGAGTGATTTGACGCTGCTAATGTGTCAATGTTTTACCTTAATTTGTGATAAAATCTCTTAAAAATATATACATTATCGGCAGACATTACAGAACACCACGGATTTTAGGTCAGCTTAACTTGTCAATTTGTAATACTGCTTGAAAAAAGTAAATCAGCCAATTATAGGCGTGATTAATTGAAATATTTCTTAAATTAAGGAAAAGGCATCCACAGTAAGAAAGTAAAAAACACAAGAATTGGCCAAGTCGACATTAGTACTTTTTTTTCTTAGGGGAAAAAAATTAAGATTTTGGAAGCTCTTTCAGCAAAGGATATTAAAAAAACCAGTTTAAACTTAAAGCGAAACTTTGATTTTAATATTACATTTTTAATTAAAAGCCTGATACAAAAATTAAAATGTTCACAATAGCTTTAACTTTAATAATTTAAAATTTCGAGTTTAAAATGTAATTTTAATAATATTATAAACATATTTAGTTAATACGTCTTGTTATTCTCTTAATTTTGCTATCTCTACTTCTTACGAAATCTTTGCACTTTTATTCTGCATTTAATTTTCCTGCTCGTTTAATTTCATTACAGACAGTGAAGGTATAGAAAAAATAGCTGCCACTTAAATTTAATTTTGTTAGATTAATTGCTAATTTTCTCTTCGTATCGAAAAGACTAATTAAATAATGATTTATGTTCTTATAAGAAAAACTTAAAGTAAGAAAAAGCTTTTAAAAGGCTTACATTAATTTTTTCTGCACTTAGTTTCATAACTTTTTATTAGAAATATTCTAATTCTTTTTACCATAACAGTTTTTACAATCTGAATAAACTTTTTGTCATAAAATCACTTCAAATTAGCAGATGTTGCAAGAGCGAAAAAATATTTTTTTGTAATTTTACTATAATAATCTGTATTTTTTTAAGAAATGCTAAAACTATTGAAATGATGGAACATAGGATCGCTGGTACCATGAAGATCGAATTATTCAGTGATTTCTCATAAGAAAATTTTTTAGATTTTGAAAAAGTGTTTTTTTTTTAATGATTAAGCGGTCCAGGCGATTGAATCCAGTCTTTCTGCTTGTGACTCGATACCAGATTGTGCGAACTAATGACTTAATTTCTCTGATTTAAATAAGTAAAACGCATTGCGAAGTAAAATATAAGACTTGCTGTTGTAAACAAAATTAATTAGATTGTGAAACGTCTGCAGTAAAACTTAGTAATCTCATATCTGGATGCAGAGGTTTTGGAAGAAAGCACCGCTATTTAAAAAACTTAGAGGCAGAAGGTCCCAAGTGAAAATTTAGGAAAAAATCGCTGCATCGAGGAAACACCTTATTTTAGTTAACAATCGGGAGTTAGGATAGTTGTGTTTTTACTTCATGAGGCATCTTCAGGTCCCATTATTTTATGGATTCTTATTTTTTTCCTCTTTGTTTTCCTATAGACTTGCTTTATAACTCTTTGCAATAAAGTGACTCTGCTTCTTCATTTTCACTTGCAACTGATATATTTAAATACATGCTTATTACCACAACCTATAGAATACAACGATTATTTTTTAATAATTACCTTTTTTTTACCCTAAAATAGTCAAGAAAATTTTCCCTTCCAGAAAAATGTAAATCCAGTTTATCCTTAGGCGATATTGTACGCAAGTCTATTAACACTAAAAAGACTAAAATGCCTATATTGCCCGAAAGCAGTCAAAATGACTGCATTGTGAAAGAATAACGTATAAAGAAATTTGCTTAAAATTAATTTTTAATATTTTTGATATTATTTTCTGTTACATAACAAGTTATTAGCAAATATCAGCAATAAAAACAATTATGGAGGTCACAAAATCCAAAGAAATTGTGTCATTATAAACATCATTGTTTTTCTAATTGAAATTAAAAAGCAGTCAAAATTACTTCCTTTGGCAATCTAGGGTTAAAAAGTTTAAATACGAAATAATTCCTAAAAAAATATCTGTTTATGCAAATATCTGTTTATATATTTATGCAATCCAAACTTTTCCCGATTAGGAAATTTTCGAATTTGCTGTAGTATAAAAAACATTTTTTGTACTAAGAATTTTTTTAAAAATGACCAATTATTCATGAACCTGGTTTGCTTCGATTCGGTAAATTAGTACTGTACTATATATTTGCTAGAGGTTTTTAATATTTTACATGAAATGCATCCGTCAGTGCTTATGTTCTTCAGGTATTTACAAATCACAAAAACCTATTAATTACTTTATATTTGCAATCATATTTAGCAAGACTTCACTTTTGCTCCATGGACTATGTTTTTACTAATTGTTGCAAATTTTTACTGTTATGGCATCTTAATTTCATACAAAACCATTTCATAAGATGAATGCTTTTTTAAAAATTTACCATTAAAAATATATATATAAATCCCAGACACAGTGAAATACTATTGAGGTTAAAATATTTCTTTTTAAAACAAATCTCGAACAATCTAGTTGAACGCGAAAAGAAACGCAATTTCCGATTCACTTTCGGGAGAATATAAATTCAGCTTATCCTCAGGCGAGATTGTGTGCAGTCGATTAGAAGGTTGAGAATCAGAAAAGTTTCTAAGAAACTTCTTTTGACGCAATCCTACCTCCCACGTGACCGTTAAGAAAAGACGAGAAGATTGTTTTAATTTTCTGAGTATTGAAAGGGCATTCAATCCCAAGAGAACGAAACAGACTAAGAAATTCGAATGCAGAATCAATTTTCATTCCATTCTGACGACTTCCTAAATATGCTTCATTTAAGAAGTTTAAGATCTCATTTTATTTCCTTAAAAGAGAGAGATTTATAGTTTGTATTTTAAATTAGTAGCAATCTTGCTTTTTAATAAGAACTTTGTAGTTTTTAAATGAAAATGTATTTCCAGATGCGGGGTAAAGTATATATACTTGTTTTTGCAAGAACATTTTTGGAACTGCAAATCAATGTCTGTTTTGCAACACCTTGCAGAAATCTATCATGTTAAACCAATAGTGAATTATCAATTCTTTAAATCCATAAAATGCTTCAAATGCTATGTGTGGTTAGTTTAATTTTTATAAATATTTGTTTATAGATTTATTTATAGATATATTTATGTAATATTTTCATGTTTTATTTTAGTTTCTTAAATAATTTAATCATCAAACATAGTAAGTTAAGTGAAATGAAATAATTACTGCAATTCATAATTTACTATTTTATTTCAAATTTAAAAATTTAACCTTACCCACATCACTACAAAAATTACAAGTAGAAAAGGTAATAGCATTTGGCATTGTTTTATTTGATCAATTTTTAAGTTTATTGATAAAGGTTAACGCACCACCATATCAAGACAAACGACATAATATCCAAAAAAATTCAGAACCCCAGCACTAACGTTTCTGGAGTGATAAGAGATTCGATATAGCGTTCAAACACCTTAGGCAGACAGAAATACTAAAAAGAGAAGAAAAAAAAGCTATGTAAAGTTAAAGAAAACAAACTTTTACCTGTGTGTCAACTTCTAAGTTTATTTTAAGCTTAAAATAGTATTTAAATTGAAAAAGTAGACTTTGTAACGTAAAGTTGTGGCTTTTAAGTATTAAATCTTGAAAAAGCCATACAAAATATTTAAGAGAAGCGTTTTCGTCGCTACACAAGTTATAGATAGAGCAGGATAACGCCATTTGGCACTCTTTTTGGCTAATTTTCAAGTTTGTTAACGTTGGTTAACGCTCTGCAATATCCAGACACATTACATCATTCTCAAAATTCAGAACCCCAGCATTAAATGTTCTGGAGAGATAAGAGATTCGTCATAGCTTTCACACACCACGCTCAGATAAAAATACTGAAAACAGAAATACAAAAGTAAAGTTAAAACACTCATTTTTTTATCTGCTTGTCAAATTTTTAAATTCTATATTTAAAATAATATTTAAACTGAAGAAATAAAGATTTTGTTAAAAGCATGTAAAGTTGTGGCTTTTAAGTATAAATCTTGAAAGAGGCGTACAAAATATTTTAGAGGAACGTTTTATGCAAATACATTGTAAGTACATGCTTATCCAAATATGCCCCCTCCTTTTGCAGCTGCATTCCATTAAAATGTTACGTAATAGCTTTCGTTTTCGCAGATGATGTCATAAATAATTATCAGCAGAACATATCTTTCTGAGTTTAAGAATATCATTTCTGGAAGACAAAAGTGATTTTCGATTTACTTCCAAGAAAATATGAATTAATTCTATTTCAGTCAAAGATAGCATTCTTCTTATAAGAATTCGGAAGATGGTAAAATATTTTCTGATGTAACACTACTTCCCTGCATTAGACAAATGGAAGACTTGTTTAATTCGAAGGATGACTAAAGATAGATCAAAAGGAATACTTTTTTCATCTAGAGGAAGATAAGTTCTAACACAAAGGAAGCATTTGTGATATTTCTATTTGATTGAGATATTTAGAATTAAACATGATCTAAATCATTTTAGTTATGTAAGTTAACAAAAGAATAAAAATAAGTTAGGAAATATTATCTATTATGTGAATTATGTTACATGATTAGTTTTACTGATAAATAGTTAACGTAATTGAAATAGTTTAAAGCGATAATATTTACAGAGCTTAAATTAAATATAATAAAGCAAACTGTGAACATAATAGAAATTTTTTTTTAAA